GTATTCCTCCGACCTTCTTTTGATGCTACTGTTATGCAATAGTTTTCTCATAACTTAAAAATCCAGTGAGTCAAATCTGACTCATAGCAACTCTATAGGACAGGGTAGACCTGGGTCTGAGGGTTTCTGGGAATAGAAAGCCTCATCTTTCTCCTGACGAGCCCCTGGTGGTTTCAAACTGCTGGCTTTTTGGTTAGCAGCCCAAAGAATAACCCAACTATACAACGAGGGCTCACCTTCAACATTATTAATTTGAGAAATGCCATGCGTGTTCTTCCCTTTGGGTTTTCTAACTCTGGCTCTTTTGCACATCTATTATAATACTTTTTTTCTTTTTTTAAAATTGAAACATCATTTTACTGGGGGCTCTTATAACTCTTATAACAATCCATGCATCAATTGTATCAAGCATATTTGTACATATGTTGCCATCATTCTTTTCTAGACATTTATTTTCTATTGAGCCCTTGGTGTCAGTTCCTCTTACCCCCTCTGTGACCCTTGATAAATTATAAAGTACTATTATTTTCATATCTTACACCGACCGCTGTCTCCCTTCCCCATGTTTTCTGGTGTTCATCCCCCTCGAGCTAGGGGCAGTGTGGTTATGTGTCAATCATTGCAATCCATCCCTCTTCCTCCCCTCCTGTCCTTACCTTCCCCTACCCTTCTGGTATCGCTATTCCTATTCCTGTTCCTGAATTGTGTGTCGTGAGCTCTTATCTGTACCAGTGTACATACATAATACTTTGTTTACTTAAGCTTCTCTTTTAAACCCTCTGTTCAGCTTTCACACTTCATTATTTCTCCATTTGCTTTAGCTATTGCATACTCAAAAGCAAATTTCAAGGCCTCTTCTGATATTCATTCATTTTGGTCTACTTTTGAATGACTTTTACTTGATATGGAACTATTTTGCTCCATGAATGCATACAACATACCTCCATAGACTTTTGCCTTTATTCAAAAATCAGTATGACATGCTGTGTGATGTGAACCATCTCAGAATCAATTCAAATCTTAGCACCCAAAGAAATCTAGCTTTGCAGAAATAACAGGGTCTTTGGAAAACACTCAGGTTATAAGACACAGACATAGTATATTACTTGCTTATTATTAGAACAACCACATTTCGTGAACTTTTTCTCATCAATGTTGTTTTCAATTTTCAAAAACTTTTTCATAATCCACACGATCATCTTGAGTCCTGACTATAAAGAAAATCTATAGATGATTCCTTCAGAATCCCAGAAAGGAGTTGCTATAACCTAAGCTGACTTCTCTGCCTTGAATTTAAATGGCTCAGAAGAACTCTCAGAAGTCACTGTTTTGTTGGGACCTTGATCGTATTGGCAAATCCATACCTCATCCCCAGTTACATCCATTCCAGAAGATCATCTTCATTAGCTATGATCTGCCTATAAGATTGGCGGAAAGATCAGTACTTTGAGCTGATCTTTTTTTTTTGTTTTGGTTAATTTTTTAATTTTTTTAACATTTTATTAGTGGCTCATACAACTGTTATCCCAATCCATACACACATCAATTGTTAAAGCGCATTTGTACATCGTTTCTCAATGAGCTGATCTTTATGCAATGTTTTTGGCACTCATTCAGCTAAAGCTTACTGAGACCAAGATGTTTGCTTCAAATTGAAAATGCTGAGTCATATGAGACCCCAACTTAAGCAGCTATTTTGTTAATGAGAACACTAAAGTCTTCTTCGACTTCTTTCTGGACTTGGGTTACAATTTCTTCTTTCATGGAGTCTGACAGTCTTCCTTCTCTTGGTTTGTCTCTGAGATCATCCCCACCCTTCCTTAAAATGCTTGACTCATGTAAAATGTGTTGTTTTTTATGGGACATAGTAATCAAAACTCACGGAAGCAACAGTTAAAAACCGCAAACCCTGTATTGCACTGGGCAAACGTGCTGCACAAGATCTCCACAAAATGTTACAGAACAAAGATGTCACTTTAGGGCCAAGGTGCCTTGGACCCAGGCCAGGGTATTTCTAATCACCTGATGTGTGTGTAAAAGCTGGACAATGAAGCCGGAAGACTAGAGCATAAGCACTTTAGAATTATGGTGTTTGAAAAGAACATTAAAAGTGCCACAAACTATCTGAAGAACAACAAATACGAGGGGCTACCCCTTAAAAGAAAACAGAATTTATTTTTCAAAGCTATGTATTTAAATTTTTTTTACAAAACAACCTTATCACCTTCAAAGTACTCTCCATTACACTCAATACATTGGTCAATTCTGCGATTCCATTCTTGGAAACATTTTTCAAACTCATCTGTTTGGATGGCTGACGGCACCTCCCTCATTTTTTTTCCTCTTCTAAGTTGTCATATCACTGTCCTTTTATGTTCCTCTTCAATCGTAGAAACAAAAAGAAGTCGCACAGAGCCAGGTCAGGTGAGTAAGATGCATGGAACAAAAGAGGCATGCTGTTTTTTTGCCAAAAACTGGTACACTGAGGAGATGGCTGTGTGAGCAGATGCATTGTCATGGTGGCAAAAACCAATCCCATCTACCACAAAGCAGGCCTTTTTTGTTGTACACCGTTACACAATTTTTACAGGACCTCTAAATAGAAAACTTGATCATAAGTCTGACCTGATGGAATGAATTCTAAATGCACTAGAGCCCCCTCACATAAAAAAAAAGCAAATGAACATTGTCTTGATCTTTGATTGCACTTGACGAGCTTTTGGAGGGCAAGGTGATACTGGCGTCTTCCACTGGCTTGATTGATGTTTGCTTTCAGAGTCATAAGAATTGCACCATGTCTCATCACCAGTAATGACCTTGGAAGAAAACCAGGGTAGCATAGAAACTGCTCTTTCAAAGCCTGGCATGTTTTCACTTAAAGCTCTTTTTCCTGGTCAGTCTGAATCTGAGGCACAAATTTCACAGCAACCCTTCTCATTCCCAAATCTTCTGTTAAAATTTGTTGAACCGAGCTCCAAGATAGTCCAGATAACTTACTCATCACTTAAGTGGTCTGTTGCCAGTCTTCAAGTACAAGTGCACAAGTTTTGTCAACATTTTCGTCTGTTCAGGAAATTGACACACATCCAGAATGAGGTTTGACATCAATGGACATTTCACCTCTTTTGAAACGAAAAAACCACTCGAATACTTGATTTTTTCCTATAGCACCATTCTTGTAAGCTGTGTTCAACATCATAACAGTTTCTGAAGCATTTTTCCTGACCAGGAAACAAAATTTCACAGCTGCATGCTGTTTTCTAAAATTGACCATCACAAAAAATGAGGTTCGAGCAAAACTGCTTTTAAGAAAAAATTCATTGTGACCAGAGAGAACCTTCCCAGGCAATGCCACTGGATGCACTCACTATCTCAGAGCTAGTTGCTTGATGCTAGCCTAGCAGGAAAAATGCATACTATGAAAGCTTCATCCAGCAGATTATTTTTCCTTTTTTGAAGGGGAGGGGAGGGGAAGCACCCCCTCGTATGTCTTGAAAGAAGTATAGCCAGAATACTCCTTAGAACCAAGATGACATTTGGTTTTTTTTTTCTCTTGATGTAAGAGGAGAGGAGAGTGTGATGTGAGAGGAGAGGGGAAGGGAGGAGAGGAGAGTGTGATATCCCAAGATGACATTTGGTCTCACATCTTTGGACATGTTTTTAGGAGACCAGATCCTGGAGAAATACACCAGGGTTGATAAAGTAGAGTGGCAGTGAAAAAAAGACCTTTAGTGAGATAGACTGACACACAAGCTGCAACAATGGGCTCAAGCACAACAATAATTCTGAGCATGACACAAGACCAGCGGGATTTTTTCCTGTTGTATATGTCATAGGCATGAGCTGGAGCTCACTCCATGATATCTAACAATAAAAGTGGGGCAACTCTCATAAACTGTTGGACAGCTTCAATGATTTGGGAAGATGTTCACCTGAATTTTGTTTAAAATTTTGTATCAGTTCTCACCTTAACATCTTTTTTTCACAGCACAAAAGCTTCCCTTTTTGAGACAACCTCATAAAATTTAGACAAATGTGTTACTGAGAGAACTTGTCTACAGCCATCCACTGACTCAATGACAAGCTTAAATCCATTTTGTTTGGAATAAACCTGTGTATGTATGATTGGACACCTAATACCAATATTTTTAGATGTATCGTATTATTATTTAATACCCAAACATCTGGGAATTTTTTAGGTTAACATTTTGCTATTGATTAACTTAACCATTTCAAAAAAATTTTTTTAATCATTTTATTGGGGGCTTTTACAGCTCATCAAAATCCATACATTCATCCACTATGTCAAGCACATTTGTACATATGTTGCCATCACCATTTCAAAACATTTTCTTTCTACTTGAGCCCTTGGTATCTGCTCCTCAGTTTTTTCCTCCTTCCCTCATGTACCCTTAATAATGTATAAATTATTATTATTTTCATATCTTACACTGACTGTTGTCTCCCTTCACCAACGTTCCTGTTGTTCATCCCCCTTGGAAGGCGATTATATGTCATTGTGATGGGTTCCCCATTCTCCCCCTACCTGCTCCCTATCCTCAAATTTCAAATTTCTGATGTTTGTGTAGACTTATTCTATGTGTCTGAATAAACATAATCTTAAAATGGTAAATAATTCATGTGTACTTGGAATGAATGTATATTTTGTAATTTCTGAGAGCAGTTTTTACAAGTTACATTTGGTTTTTTGGCTTGCTTGTGCGTCCGTCCATCCATCCATCCATCCATCCATCCATCCATCCATCCACTCATCTACTCAGTATATGAATCAAATCTTAAAGTGGGTTTTTAAATCTAAGAATGAAACTAGAAGATGTTTCATAAAAAAGAAGTGTAGTGATTACAGAAAATTAAATGATATCTCCAGGTCTCAAAAGCCAGTCAAGATCTGGAAGTATTCTTCCAGAACACACACACACACACACACACACTCACTCACTTCCATTTTTGGTATAAAAAGCTGATAGCAATCAGCTTACCTGATTTTCATCTTGCACTTCCATGCTGTACTGGTCACCAGGCTGAACTTCTGTGACTTTCTCTCCAAGGAGGAAACCCAGACGAGTCATGAGTGTGTTTGCTGCCTCATCTACAGATGGAGGGGGACCAAGTTCCTGTTCAGCATCACCTACAAGAAGAAGCCATTGGAAAATATTGTGATTCCTCCAAAATAAAGGGTCTAATTCTGGAACTATTCTTATACTCAATTCAGTTTATTTCCATACTTTTCATACTCTACATCTAAATTTGGAAGGTCTCTGTCTAGAAGCTAATTTTCTCACTTAAGCCATCATCGTTCTCAAAACATTTTCTTTATACTTGAGCCCTTGGTATCAGCTCCTCACTTTTTCTCCCCCTCTCCCTCCTTCATGAACCCTTCATAATCTATAAATTATTATTTTGCCATGTCTTACACTGACTAACGTCTCCCTTCACCCACTTTTCTGTTGTCCGTCCCCCAGGGAGAAGGTTATATGTCGATAATTGAGATCAGTTCCCCTTTCTCTCCCACCTTCCCCTTCCCCTCCTGGTATCTCTACTCTCATTATTGGTCCTGAGGGGTTTATCAATCCTGGATTCCTGGTGTTTCTAGTTCTGATCTGTACCAGTGTACATCCTCTGGTCTAGTCAGATTTGTAAGGTACAACTAGGGTCATGATAGTGGGAGGGGAGGGGGAGAAAGCATTAAAGAATTAGAGGAAGGTTGTATGTTTCTTTTTTTTTTTTTTTAATCAATTTATTGGGGCTCATACAATTCGTCACAATACATAGATCAATTGTGTAAAGCACATCTATACATTTGTTGCCCTCATCATTCCCAAAATTTTCTTGCCTCTTGGGTTCCCGGAATGC